TCAGTACTATTAGTTATATTGATAGACTTTGATTAAAGCAGATTACTCTCAGTAACGTGGGTGACCTTCATCCAATCAGTTGAAAACCTTAAGAGAAAAGGACTGAGGCTCTCTAAAGAGAAAGGTATCTGTCTCCAGACTGCCTTCATATGTAAGCTGCACCTTCCCTGGGTCTTTGGTCTGCCAGCTTGCGCCGTGGAATTCAGAGTTACCAGCCCCCACAATCACATGAACCAGTTCTTAAAATCATTCACTCTGTAAGTGTAGAAATATATATATATATACATACATACATATACATACATACACACATCCTGTTGGTTCTATTCCTCTGCAGAACACTGTCTAATATCCTTCATATATATATATACACACACATATATATATATCCCTGTATATCCTTTATATATCCCCAGCAATTCCACTCTAGATAAGTGAAAGCAAGGACTTGGAGGGACACTTGTATGCCAATGATCATTGCAGCACTATTCACAATAGCCAAAAGAGGGAAACAAGTACCCATCAAAGATGAATGGATAAACAAAATGTGTTAAATACATAAAATGGAATATCATTCACTAACGTAACAAGGGATGACATTCAGATACATGCTGCAGCATGGATGAACCTTCAAAACATTATTCAAATGAAATATGCCAGACATAAAGGGACAAATATTGTATGATTGTACTTACATGAAGTACCTACAATAGGCAAATTCATAAAGACAAAAAGTAGATTAGCAGTTATCAGACGCTGGAGGGTGGGATGGGTATTGGAAAGCTATGGCTTAATGGTTAGAATTTCTGTCTGGGGTGATATAAAATTTTGGAAAGAGGTAGTGGTAATGTTTATACTACATTGTGAATATAATTAATGCCACTGAATTGTACACTTTAAAATGGTTAGGGGCGCCTGGGTGGCGCAGTCGGTTAAGCGTCCGACTTCAACCAGGTCACGATCTCACGGTCCGTGAGTTCGAGCCCCGCGTCAGGCTCTGGGCTGATGGCTCGGAGCCTGGAGCCTGTTTCCGATTCTGTGTCTCCCTCTCTCTCTGCCCCTCCCCCGTTCATGCTCTGTCTCTCTCTGTCCCAAAAATAAATAAAAAACGTTGAAAAAAAAATTTTAAATAAAATAAAATGGTTAAAATGACAAATTTTATGTTCTCTTTTGCCATTTTTTGTAAAATGGTAATATATTACCCCCCCACCCCAATTGAATTGTATGCTTTCATTTGGTCAGTTGTATGGTATGTGAGTTACATCTCAATAAAGCTGTTAAAAATAAAAGAAGAGTAGCATCGCTTCTGATGCATTCTCTTGCTAAAAGTTCCTGGGTCCAACCCATGTTCAAGGGAAGAGGAATTTGATTCCAACTTTGGTGGGACAAACAACCAAAAATTTATGGATATGGGAAGACACACATACAGGAATAAGCACTGTCAAGGCCCACCGACAGGCCTTTTCAACATTGTTATTGGGGAGAATAAGCCTGGTTTATAGGAAGATGCTTCAAAAACAGTGGGTCTGCCACCGTGTTCAAAGAAATCCAAGTTTTAAGTTTAGAGACTACATGTTGACTCCTGATGAGGACTTAACAACATCCCCCCTTCTTCTCTCCCAATATTGTTATATCATAATGTTTAGTTAAATCAATATTTAGTGTTTATACTTTTCAAATGCTCAAAGGTGTCAGATAATTTACCCATCCCACTTTTCTCTCTGTAACCTTCCCTCCCAGCTCTCTCTGTCCTGCCCCCATCTAGGTTGTTGCTCTCCAGGCTCCCTGCACAGCTGTCATCCTAGGACTTTTGCTTACTATTTTCTGGTGTTTATCCCCCTTCTCTTGGGTTCCATGTTTTTCTTTCTTGTGGTTTATTACCTTATTGTTTTTGGTTTTCGTTTATAGCATCTTCTGGTAGTTTCCTAAGAAAGTGCCTATGAGGTACATTTTTGCATCTATGCAGGTATGAAAACATCTTCTTTTCTACCTTCACTCTTGATAATTTGGCTAGATTGAAAATTATTTCTTGGTGAGAGGCTTAGTGGGTTAAGCATCTGACTTTTGATTTCGGCTCAGGTCATGATCTCACAGTTTGTGAGATCAAGACCCCGCACTAATAGCATGGAGTCTGCTTGGGATCCTCTCTCTCCTCTCTTCCCCACCCCCCACATGCACACACTTTCTTTCTCTCAAAATATTCTTTTAAAAAAGAAAATAATTCTCCCTATGACCCAGAAATTGCACTACTAGGAATTTATCCAAAGGATACAAAAATGCTGATTCAAAGGGGCACATACACCCCAATGTTTGTAGCAGTGCTATCAGCAAAAGCCAAAATATGGAAAGAGACCAAATGTCCATCAACTGATGAATGGATCAAGAAGATGTGGTATATATTTATAATGGAATACTATTCAGAGGTGAAAAAGAATGAAAGCTTGCCATTTGCAACAACATGGATGGAACTGGAGGGTATTATGCTAAGTGAAATAAGTCAGAGAAAGACAGATATAATATGATTTCACTTACATGTGGAATTTGAAAAACTCTACAAAAGAACATAGGGGAAGGGAAGGAAAAATAAGGTAAAAACAGGGAGGGAGGCAAACCATAAAAGACTCTCAAATATAGAGAATAAATTGGGGGGTGCTGGAGGGGGCTAGGTTAAATGGGTGAGAGATATTAAGGAGGGCACTTTGCAGGATAAGCACAGGGTGTTATATGTAAGAGATGAATCACTGGGTTCTACTCCTGAAGCCAAGACTACACTGTATTTTAACTTGAAAATAAATTAATAAAAAAATTATTTCTCTATTTCCTTCCATCTTCTTGCTCCAAAATCACTCAATTCTGTTTCCTTGTGTATGATCTGTCTTTTCCTTCTGAAATATATTCTGAAATTTCTAATACTTTGAAATTCTGGAAATTGACAATAAAATGCCTTGATATAGATCTTTTTAAAAATTTTGTTCATGTCAGTGCAGGGCTCAAACTCACTAACCGTGAGATCATGACCTGAGCTGAAATCAAGACTCAGATGCTTTAACCGACTGAACCACCCTGGCACCACAATATAAATCTTTTTTTTTTTTTTTTTTTTCAAATAATCATTGTGCTGGGTATTAAATGTGAGCTCTTTCAGTCTTTAGAATTGTGTCCTTCACTTTTGGTAAACAGTCTTGGATTATTCCTTTGATAATTTCTTCCCCTCCCTTTTCTCTTTCTACAGTACAGATCTTATAATCTCCCTTATTTTCTAAGTTTTCTCAATTTTATCTTCTAGGCCTTCCATTTATGCTATATTTCTAATTTCTTCATACTCGGTCTTTTCCTCTGATTGTTCTTTATTTCCAGTGTCTTAAACTAGTCTTATTTCAGTATATTTTTTCATCTCTCTGAACATATTGATAGTGTTTTGATGTTTACTTTGGTTCCTTGTATTGTCTCTGTTTTCTCAGAAATCCTTTTATTCTATTTTTTTTTAATTTTTGTTAATGTTTATTTATTTTTGAGAGATAGAGAGACAGAGCTTGAGGGAAAGGGGCAGAGAGAGAGGGAGACACAGAATCTGAAGCAGGCTCCAGGCTCTGAGCTGTCAGCACAGAGCCCAATGCGGGGCTCGAACTCACGAACCACGAGATCATGACCTGAACCAAAGTCGGGACGCTTAACCGACTAAGCCACCCAGGCGCCCCTCATTCTATTTCTTTATGTGGATCCTTCTAATCTTAGAGGCTTTCAATAAGGTTCTGCCTCAAAGCGCTCTAGTATTGGGGGTGGAAGGTGGAGGGGGGGGAATCTTCCCTCTAGGAGTTTTCGGAGAAGAGAGATGAGCTCTTCTCCTCATATTCCCCTTTCAAACACTCTGGTGAGAGCCTCCCTCACTTTGCTCAACAGTTACCACCTGTCCTCTGTCCCACACTTTCCAAAGTTTTGTTGAAATTACTCCTCTCCCATTCTTTTTGTTCTTGTGGCTTTATTCTTTTTTTTTTTCTTTCCCTATTCTGATTTTAGTGGGACTTTAGGAGGGAAAAGAGAAATGCAAGTGGTTGACCAGAAGTCTGCCATGTTATCAGTAAATGTTTTGATAGCAATTGATAGTTTTTCCTGCCTTTAATCCCCTTCCCTTTTAGTCAGTCTCAACACTGCTCCCTAATTTTTCTAAAACATAGGTATGCTAAGATCACATCTTGCCAAACTTTTGATGACTTCCCATAAGACGATTTAGCATTCCTAGCCTGAACTACAGGGACCCTTACAAACTGACCCTCTCCAGTTTCGTCTTCTACTGGTCTCTCTCACAATGTAACCACCCTGGATTATTTATTTTTCCGTAAGCTTATCATGCACTCCTCTGCCTCTTTGTCTTTTCCATTCCCTGTGCCTCAATGCTCTATGCATTCTCTCTGGTAGATTCCTCCTACTTACTCTTCAAGGTCCAAAACCAAGTGTTACTACCTCTGTGAGGCCTTTTTTTTTTTTTTTTTTTTTTTTTTTTTTAAACATTTATTTATTTTTGAGAGAGACACAGAGAGCAAACAGGGGAGGGGCAGAGAGCGAGGGAGACACAAAATCTGAAGCAGGCTCCAGGCTCTGTGCTGTCAACACAGAGCCTGACACAGGGCTCAAACTCACAAACCGTGAGATCATGACCTGAGCCACAGTCGGACATTCAACTCACTGAGCCACCCAGGTGCCCCTAGCCTTTCAAGTCTCCACATTTTACTGCAGGCAGTATTAACTCCTCTGTATTCCCATAATACTAGGCTGATACCTTTAACATAGCAGTTACACCTCTAAGCAGAACAGTTAATTTACGTACCTGCCTCATCAGCCAAATTATCACTTTCTTGAGGGTGAAGACAGTGTTCTCTTCTCCTTGATGTTCTAAGTACCAAGCTCAGTGCTTAGACCCTGTAGACATTTAGGACATGTTTATCAAATGTGTAATTATCATTGTGATGGTAGCTGGCTCAGTTGTCATCTTCCACTTTCAGGCACACAAGCCATGCCCCCTCTCTTCTCTCTGGGGTACCATCAGTGCCGCTGGAACTATGAGGATGAGCAGGATGTAAAAGCAGTGGATGCAGGATTTGATGAGCATGACATTCCTTATGATGTCATGTGGCTGGACATAGAGCATACCGAGGGCAAAAGGTACTTCACCTGGGACAAGAAAAGATTCCCAAATCCCAAAAGGATGCAAGAGCTGCTCAGAAACAAAAAACGTAAGGTAAAATAAGCTGACGCTTTGAAACCTTTTCATTACAAAGCATTTTTTTTATTATTTAAAACTTGCATTGGCACATTAGTGGAGGAGAGCCATCTGATAAAAAATGGCCATGGAAATAGTACCTTCAAATGTAATTGTAACTGTGATAACAGGAAAGCAATGATGGAAAGATGGTCACACCATCCGTCCCTGCCTTAGGTGTCGAGGTCCCTGCAGGACAAAGGGGCCTAGAATTCAGTCTCATTTGTTGTGGCCATCCTGTAGTGATTTGATAGATACCCCAAAAGCATGATTTGGTTCTGATGTCAACATCAATCTCGAGATTGGGGACATCACATTGACACCAAGAGGGTCTGAAAAGATTGATTAGTCACTTAGGCATTCTTGAAGGAGCAGGGCTGGCTCCCAGGCTGCTCTCAAGATGTCTTGAGAGAGCTGGGAATGAAGACATCTCAGCTTTTGTGGTGCTTGGAGGTTTGGACTGGGGTGAGGATTCCTATGCATGCTCAGGGCTTGTGTGGTTTGAACTTCCTGCTGGCACCCAAGGAGGGAGCATTAGGGCTTTCTTTGTCAGATGTGGGCAGACGGGTAAGGGGGAGTGGTGGGGCTAGAAAGCTCTTAACAGTCCATCAAAAATGGAGTCATATTCTTCATCATACCATTTTTTCTGCATACTTCCCTGATGGACTCCACCTATCAATTGGCCAAAGGAAGAACTAAAATAGAAAATGGAGAGGGGAAAAAAGACACTGGAAAGTATGTAATACAGGTGTGGTGGTGGTAACAGCAATAATGAATAGAAGGAGGGAGAGGAAAAAATTGAGAGAGGAAAAGGGGGAGAACCCTAGATGTTTCATATAAATGGATCCCTGCAGTCCCTCTCCTTGAGATTAAAGTTGTCTTTTCAATCCATTCCTTTGAGCCCCAGGCCTTTCACAGGTGACCACAGCCAATCATATTAACTCCTAATTTCCAAGTTAATAAATAGCTACCATTTGGCAAGCACTTACTATTGGCCACAGAATTTGATAGAACACAGTATTCTATCCAGTCATCACAAAATTATGAGGTAGATCTTGTTAGCCCATTTTTCAGGTGAAGAAACCGAGGCTTAGTTTTGTATTTTGCACAAAGGCACATAATAAATAAGTAGTAGGGCAAGAATCTGAACTCTGATTTGCCTGATTCCAGAACCCATGTTATTCTAAGCAACTATTTATTGAAGCCATCAGATGTTCAAAATACCGTGCTACAGATGAAGGGAATGCAAAGATGAGCTCCTTGGGGTCTTGCAGTGAGTTGGGGGAAAGACAGTTGTACAACAACCACAATGTAGGGCAATAATGTAACAGCCAAAGAAAGATCAAGGTCAGGAGGGGACTAAGAGAGAGAGAAGATTGCATCCAGCTAGATTCAAGCTGGGCTTTGTGCATTTTAGATGAGCCCTGAAGGATGACTCTCTAACTAGCTGAGAAAAGGGGAAGAAGCAGTGCAGCCAGAGGCTGAAGCACCCAGTGGTGTTTGGAAAACAGTACGCAGGCTGGTTTGGCAAGAAAACCATGTGCAAGAAAAGGCATGTGCAAGGTTTAAGTAGTAGGGAATCTGACCTTATTGTAGGCTGCTTTGTATACATTTGGAGACATTAAAAGTTTTTGAATAAGAGGTTAGTATGAAGAATATGTGAAGAACACCTACCACTCAACAAACAAAAAACAAACAACCCAATTAAAAATTGGAAAAAGGACTTAATAGACATTTCTTCAAAGATATACAAATAGTCAACAAGCACGTGAAAAGATGCTTAACATCACCAGTCATTAGGAAAATGCAAACAGAACCACAATGAGATACTGCCTCATATCGTTAGGATGGCTACTATGAACAAACAGAAAGTAGCAAGTAAGGAGGTACAGAAATAGAAACACTGATAGTGGAAAATAAATGTAAAGTGTTGCAACCACTACAGAAAACAGTTTGGCAATTCCTCAAAAAGTTAAAAATACAATTACCATATGATCCAGGAAACCCACTTATGGGTATATACTCAAAGGAATTGAAAGCAGGTACTTGAGCAGAAATTTATATGCCCATATTCATATCAGCACTATTCACAATAACTGGAAGTGGAAGCAATCCAAGTGTCCATCAGCAGATGACTGGGTAAACAAAATGCGGTAAATACATACAATGGAATATTATTCAGCCTTAAAAAAGAAGAGATCCCGTCACAAGCTACAACATGGATGAACCTTGCAGACACAATGCCAAGTGATATAAGGCAGTCACAAAAAAGATGAATACTGTATGATTTCATCAATCTGTAATACCTACAGCAGTCAAAATCATAGAGATGGAAAGAATAATGGCAGTTGCCCAAGGCTGGACAGAGGAGGGAATTAGTTGTTTTTAATGGGTATGGAGTTTCAGTTTTACAAGACATTCTGGACATTGCACAACTCTGTGTATGTACTTGTACCCTTAAAATTGGTTAAGATGGTAAATTTTATGTTATGTGTATTTTACTACAATTAAAAGTGTTTTAAAGTTTTTGAGCAATGGAAAATTAAACTTCAGTTTGCAGAATAGATTTGAATAGATTTGAGGAAGGGTGGTGACAAGGTTGTCCTAGACAAAAAAAGGGTTTTGATGCCCTGGAGTAGGAGGTGATGGTATTAGAAAGGTAGAGAGATCCTAAAGACACAGAGTTATGATGACAGCTCTTCTCAAACCTCCTTCCTAACTATACCTGTACCATTGGGTTTGGGCTTTTTTGTTTTTAACACGCTATTCTCTTGTTTTCTTTCATGTTTGCTTCTGTCAGTGTTAACTTCTAGGTGTCTAGGGAGCAGGGACGACTTAATCCTCTATGTATAGCACCCAGCACCTCAGACAGAAGCTTAGTAACTGCTATTTTGAGAACACGTATTGGTTGGGAAGCAATAATTATGGAAGAGCACTGGCCTAGTTTTGATACTAATTATATTCCCATAAGCATGAAAAGTTACTGGGTTTTACCAGTATCTTAAATATTTCAATACTAGTAGTTATTTCTGAGTAAAATTTGAACCCCAAAACTATGATGAAAAGTATAAAAACCAACATCTAACTCCTGTGAAACTGATGAGCTCGTCAAACCTCTATGTCCTGACAGCTTGTGGTCATCAGTGACCCCCACATCAAGATTGATCCTGACTACTCAGTGTATGCTGAGGCCAAAGAACAGGGCTTCTTTGTGAGGAATCACGAAGGAGGAGACTTTGAAGGGGTATGCTGGCCTGGTAAGATAGCACTTTATATACTTATTATTTCCACTTGTTTAGTCCCAGTTAATAAAGATTGCGTGGCCATCACCCTCATTTCTTATGGATGTCTTTTGCCACAGCGTAAGCACCTTTAAGAAAGTTTTCTTGGGGCGCCTGGGTGGCGCAGTCGGTTAAGCGTCCGACTTCAGCCAGGTCACGATCTCGCGGTCCGTGAGTTCGAGCCCCGCATCGGGCTCTGGGCTGATGGCTCAGAGCCTGGAGCCTGTTTCTGATTCTGTGTCTCCCTCTCTCTCTGCCCCTCCCCCGTTCATGCTCTGTCCCTCTCTCTGTCCCAAAAACAAATAAACGTTGAAAAAAAAAATTAAAAAAAAAAAAAGAAAGTTTTCTTTTGTATCAAAAGATCCTTTTGTATCTTCCATAACATCTAGTACAGTGTCCTCTGTATACATTTCTCAGTCAATGAATGAATGAAAAAAACAAAACAAAACAGGGAAGCCTTAATAGTACTCTAAGCAAATGAAAGTAAAAAGCCAAGGCATGAGAAAAGCAGAGGAGAAAAAAAAAGAACAAGTGGCCTAGAGTCTTTCCCTGTCAATCTTTTTTTGCCTTGTTAGCCCATAGTTTTGACTTCTCAGACTCCCATGAGTGACCTCAGCTGCCTCCAGCAACTCTGGATGCTTTATTTCAGAAGGTATTAATTTAAAGCCTTGGTAGAACCTCGAGGACAAAAAGGAATCACCACTCTATCCTCTCCTGGCACTCCATCACAAATCCAAGTACTGCAGAGAAACCCCATGCATCCTTCCCCCCGCCTCCCCCTGCCCACCCTTATACCACTCATGAACACTTCTTTGTTCTCTTTAAGAACAGAAGGGTCACTCCAGATTATTTGCCATGATTACTTGGGCTATCCTGGGCCATCAGTGAGGGACAGGCTCCGTCTGGATGCTTGTTCATTGGCATTCCCCTGGGCCTCTCCGGTTGGAAAGTCTAGTCCAGATTATCATTGGAGTCCAGCAATGCCTTCGTGCACTTCTTGACAGACTGCACCTCTGTATCAACTACCTTACATTTAGGGTGCCCAGTGATTACCCAACTTTGACATCTTCTCTACAACATATCTAACCATGAGGACCACTGTTTCTCACAGTCTGTTTACTCTTCTGCCTCTACAGGTCTCTCCTCTTACCTGGATTTCACCAATCCCAAGGTCAGAGAGTGGTATTCAAGTCTTTTCACTTTCTCTGCCTATCAGGTTTGTTTTTATTCTTTTGCTCTTTCCTAGTGACTTGGGAGGATGAAAGAAGGAAAAACATGATTGAATAGAGTGCTTCACTGAGTAGCTCTTGATAAGTAATCCTGGGATGAAAATGCAAGGAAGGCAACCACATTACAGACTTTGATGGTGCGAGGAGAGGTGCCATATATATTACCAAGTGCACAAAAGCTGTGATTTCTACTTCCATTATAATAGACTCTGTGACATATCAAAGTACTTAATAATATTATATGTTAAAATTACTATATAAATTTTACATAAAACAATATTATATAGCTTATTTAAAGATGATGATAATGATATGTGAGAATATCTTGCAAATTATAGGGGCGCCTGGGTGGCTCGGTCAGTTAAGCGTCCGACTTCTGCTCAGGTCATGATCTCGTGGTTCATGAGTTTGAGCCCCACATCAGGCTCACTGCTGTCACGCAGAGCCCACTTTGGATCCTCTGTCCCCCTCTCTCTCTCATGCTGTCTCTTTCTCTCTCTTGAAAATAAATAAACATTAAAAAAACAAAAGGTGTGATAAGAATTGAAATTTTTAAAGAGGTGTAATAATAAATCAATTCTTAAAATATTATAAATATAGATAAAATATATAAAAAAAGAAATATGTCAAAAACTAGAAGAAAGAACTGGAGAGGCCACTTCTAGAAAACAGTTTTCAACCCATTATGAGGATGATAATAATGATGTTTAGCATAAATTGAGTATTGCTGTGTGCCAAGCACTGTGCTAAGCACTTTATGTACATTTTACCATTTCATCTTCAGAGTAACCTCTGAGGTTGAAACTATAATGAACTCTAATCCCACAGATGAGGAAACTGACATATGGACAAGTTTAAAACCCCACTAAGTTCGCTCATCTTAGTAAGTGGTAGACCTAAGATTTGAACTCAGTCTGTTTGTCTCCCAAGCCCAAGTCTTAACTACTAAACTCTAGTTTCTTTTTTTTTTTTTCAATTTAAATTCGAGTTAGTTTACATATAGTGTAATAATGATTTCAGGAAAATAGAATTTGTTGGGATGAGCCCTGGGTGTTATATGTTAAGTGATGAATCACTAAGTTCTATTTTCCTGAACTCTTCTTTATCCATTCATCAGTCGATGAACATTTGGGCTTTTACAGGGCCTGGATGTTACAAGGAGCAGGACATTTAGAAAGCAATGGAATGAGCTGCCTGAAGGACTCCCTGTCATTGTAGCTATGAGTCAAATGCTGAGAGACCAGGATTCTATAAAAGGGATTTCAACACCATGGTGACTAGATGACTCAAAAGCCCCTTCCCACCCTAAATTGAACAATTCTATGCAGAACACAAACTCTAGATCATGCTACCAAACAGGTATTTTACCTTTCAAATATTGCAGAGTATTAGAGGGAAGGCAGAATCTTATCATGGACAGCTATAAATGCCCTTAGTTAAGAGTTTTTGGGGTGCCTGGGTGGCTCAGTCAGTTAAGTGTCTGA